AGGAGGAGTCCCCTTCTTATAGCCCATACAGTTAGAGAAAGTGGCATGTCAAAAGCAGATTTCTTTGGATTACTCAAGCGGCTAGCCAAGCAAACTAGATGACACCTCAACGTGGCATCCCATGCAGCCAGCTGCCATTCATCCCCATCCCCCAAATCGCGTGAACTAGCCATCGAACGTGATGTCGTGGCGTATGCTTTTTGACGAAAAAAAGTGTGTGTGCTACTTCTGTGAGCCGCACGAGTGAAGTATCCGCCGCCGTCGCCCTGAACGCCTCCAGTAATGCGGAGCCCCTTGAAGACTTTTTGTATTATACAGAACACTGATGTCGCAGACTTTGCGACCAATGTCCCTTTGAGGAACGTGAGAGAATCATTGCCCTCGAAATCATGAACTAAAGCTCAATAACAAAAGGAAGGTCCCAACACAGCGTGCTGGGCATTATCCCGATGTTTGATGAGCCAGCAGATACCGACTAATGTAGTCGGCCGAGTCTGTGATAGACATCGAAATTAGGGCCAACCCCTTCGGAAACCAGCCCCTGAATCCAATCGTCAGCTCCAAGATCAATACTGATATTTGCCATATTGCTGTGCTGGTGCTTGGCTGTAGCTAGCAGGTGCCCAAGAAGCGCTCGCGTCAAACGAAGCCGCTGATGGATAAAGCCCCTGCTGAGGCACGTCCTGTCGGTATGCAGAAGCGTCGGTATGTCCGCCACTGGAGCCAGGTCGGAGAGGAGAGCTCCTGTATCCGGATGATGCCAGGCGCCTACCCGATCCTTCGTATGGACTGAGGGCTCTCTGGGGGGAGTTTCGTCCACCATTTCCGTACCCAGCGTAGTCACCAGATGCCTGTCGGCTGTGGGAAGGGGGTTGCATACCGTTGTTTTGTCGAGCGCCGAGCTCTTGTTGGGTTTTCCATGCGCTGTAATCAGGCACAGGGGTGTCGCGAATCAGGCCAACGAGATTAGGAGCGCTCAAGCGGAATGCGTTGGGCGAGTGGGCATAAGAGTGAGCCGGTGGTAGGATACCCAAGAGGAAAGTGATGTCTCGGGAAAGGGGCGCTCCTTGGTTGCGTCTTTGCTGGTCAAGACGACGGCCCGCGGCACCCTTAAGAGGGGATTCTCCCCTGGCGAGCTTTCGTGGCCTGTTGAGCTCTTCATAATCGTCGCCTGCAAAAGGTCTCTTTGGAGAGTTTGTAACGCCCATGTACTGTGGGCCCGGGCTGGCCGTCTGACGAACCGGCAAGGCCATTGGGGATTGCCGAACTGAGGTCGGCTGCTCGATGGTCGGAATCAGCATCTTTGGCCGCAGTTGAACAGCCGGCGAGATGATAAGGCGGTAGGCTATGGGGTCGAATGTGTCTACTGAGAAACGGTTTGCAAAGTGTGAAAGTCTGGGATCAGCGGGCCAGAGTTCCGACATGCGCTTCTCCAGCTCAGCAATGGAGGAGAGCTCTCCAAATTGCGATTCGTACTTGTGGAAGTATGAGTATAGTTGCTTTGCCTGGTCCTTCTTATCTTCTTTCTGTGTGAGGCGGTTGACGCATGTCTCGAAGACAACACGGGCATCTATGCATGGATCAGTATGGATTCATTGGGTATGAAAGAAGGGGGAGCTCACTTGTTGTGTCACCCTTGGAGTGCAAGAACTTGAGGTACTCGAGCATGAAGCTAGCATCCTCGGGGAAAAGCTTCGCACCGCGGTCAAAGATCTTACCGCCGGCTGGGTCGTTGTAGATGAGAGCTTCCATCTTCGCAACGGCGATATAGACATCGCTGGTGAGCTGGCCACGACCTCGGGCCTCGATAAAGACTTGACGAAGACCCGAAGTCGTGTTGCCCTTGCCTTGTGTCCTCCTAGCAGCCCGACAAAGCGCAATCCACACGAACGAAATAGTGCGCTTGAGCATATCTGTCTGTACCGAGAATCCCTGCTTCACGGCGTTGATGCGCTCTTCCTTTCCAAGTTCACCGGGCTGATTGTCGCCATCAATATCGTCATCGTTCCGCTCGATTGAGTCCTTGATGTTCGGGTCCTGGGCCGATGCTTCTTCGATCTTACGAACCTCTTTTTCCTCCCGCTCCTTGAGCTTCTTGGACATGGCGTACAAAGTGTCGAGAACGAGGCTGTAGGGCTCCCTGATTGCCTTGGCGCGGGCAGCCTTGCTAGCATCATCGTCTCCGGCCGGGTAGGTCGTTTCCACACGGTCTCCATGTCTAAGCGCAAGCAATACACTTTCGGGATTGGCCTCGATGCCGTCTGTCAGAAAAGACAGGCCCAGCTCCTTGCCATCTTTTGCAATGTTGTTGGCAAAGCACCACTCTGCTGCGTCCACCCACATCTCGGGCCAGAAACGAAGAGCCATCAACGCTTGCCTATAGCAATACAGCACGCGAGTTTTGTAGGCTTCAGGCTCTTCGTCCAGGAGAACCAACGGATCCTCCTTCTCCCACTGAATCCACTTCTTCCAGATATCAACCTGCTCCATGAATTCCTGGTCACCATGGAAGCCGGGTGCAGGAGGCAGGCGAGGAAGCGAAGTTCGCGAGAGCCTGGGAATCAAGCGATCAAGCTGAGAATTTGCTGCCTTGGCTGTCATGTAGGCAGGCGAGCGTTTCTGGATGAATTGGCGGCCCTTACCGTGTTGTCAGCAATAGCAATCTACCGAAGAACAAGTAACTTACAGTCGTTTTGTTCAGGCTCATTTCGAACTGGTCGTAGTCCTTCCACAGGTCTGTAAGCGCAAACATGGGAACTGTGATGGCGCGATGGTAGGCCTTGCGCAACTGGTCCATCTTCTGCTGATCCTGCCAACCGCTGCCTCCAACCTGGCCTGGGCCACTCTTGATAAACTGGATGTAGTCCTTCCACAGTTGACCCGAGTCACGATCAATGCCAACAGAAGCAATCACAAAATCGTAGGACATGCTCAAGATTCGGCGAGACTCCCCGTTGGGATCGTTGTTTAAATCGTATCGTCTGCGGATGTAGTTGAGGTATACGGTCCAAAGCTTAACATTGGGCACATTGACCAAGGACCTGCTGAAAAGCGCTTCGGCGTCCTGGAAGCGGTTGGAGTCCAACTCGAGCTGTGCCCAGTCGGCCCAGATATCGGCCTAAATTTGCGTTAGTTTGAAACCTCGCTGTACACAAGCAGAATTCCACTTACAGCCTGGGGGAAAACCTGGAGGAATCGCTCATAGGCAGCGCGCAACTCATCCAACTGGTCATAGCGTCGATGCTCGGCGAACAATGCGAGCCACGCATCCATATCCCCTCTTGGATCCTCCTGCACGCGGTCCTCCAAGATGCCAAAAGTATCGTTCGGGTCTCTGCTGGAAACAGACTGCACTGCTGGAGGGGGTGGCGCCTGCGCCGTACTCGATGCCGCACTTGGCGCTCGCACGGGGACACCCTGGCTCGCCTGCTCTGGAGTGGCGCTCACTTGGCCTTGGACAGGAGTAGATGCAGAAGGGAAAGGAGGGTTTTGTGCAATGGGAGTCTGCGTGGCAGGAACAGCAGGAACAGCGTTCGATGCTGGAGTAGGCGCATCTTCCTCCTCGTCATCGGAGTCTCCCACTAGGAAACCTCCCTGTGTTTTGGGTTTGCCTGATTTCGACTTGATGGATGTGGAAGCGGTAGGAGTTGGGGTTGATTCGGCGGGGGGATTGGGCTCTGCGGTCTCTGGAACTGAAGTTATCGCGACCGACTCTGGGTCATATTCGCCAGCATCTTCTGAGTCACCATTCGCAGCTTGTTCAAGTGGGAAGGCAGGATCTTGACTTTGTTCGTCGCTATGCTGTATATCATTTGTTTCTTCATATCCATCTTCTCCCCAAGACGCACCCTCGAATTGTTGGTCGTTCTGCGGGACTTCGGGATCCATTGCGATGATGGGCGCTCCGAAGAATCTGTGTTGTAGTTTCTCGCAATGACCACAATACGAAGCTCTTAACTGAGAACCTCAATATCAATTGACTTCGCCGTGTGGCGCTTGTCGTGGTAGCTATGAGCTACCAGGTCGCCCTAGGCGCGAAGACACTGGGTATTCCGGGCGAGGAAGGCGTGTTCCGGCTCGTAGAAGATCGATAAACGGTCGCGAAAGAAAGTTTTGAAAGAGTCCAGTCGTTCGTAGTCGGCTATCGAAGGTCGCTGATGGCTGCGCGGGACAGTGAAGCTGATGATGTTGGCTGCCTGTAAGACGGAACGGGTCGCAAAATTGGAAGGTTGCAGCTTGTTGGCAATGTGAAAGATTGGAGGAAAGTAGACGCCGAAACCAGGCTAGCGTGATTTGGCGGTGACCTGGCAAAAGTTCGGCTGAATCGAGCTCCGACGGATAAGATAATCTTATCGGATAAGGAGTGTCTGGCACCTGCCCGACTTCCACTTTGACCTAAGGTACCTACCTTAGGTACCTTAAGGTAAGGTAAGGTACCTAAGGTACCTGGACATACCTTACCTATGCATATTTCGGCGTTCGAGAAGATCAAAAACTTACGTCGGCATCGATGTTTTGACTATACTGGCACATGCTAGCTACATAGGGTCTTTCCATCTAAGTGAAGTATCCGTCGGGTTAGGTAAAGTAGGTAAGGTAGGTAGAATAAGAATGAAAGGCATCAGCCATCTCCAAGCCTCGCTTTGTGTGGCTGGGAAGGTGGACAGGAACTTGACAGGCACACGGACGGGCGCGAGAGCCGAAAAGGGCTAGCCTTGACGTGAAGACCACTTTACGCGAAATTCGCGGTAAGGGGAAGGCAGGCGCGTCCCAGGCCCACGTCGTTGTCCCGTTGTAATTGACGAGCCGAGCCTTCTTCTTCCATCTCGCTCGCCGCAAAACAATCCCACCTTCTCAATACACCAACTCCACCCACCACTTCAGACCGACGTTCACGCAACGAATTTCTTCTCAACTTTCCTTTGCTCGCAGTCGCGCAGACTTCCCCTCTACATCCATTACCACATAATCAATCAAGACTTCATCGCCCACCTTTCACGATGTCGATCGTCTCGCTTCTGGGCGTTAAGGTTCTGAACAACCCCGCCAAGTTCACGGACAAGTACGAGTTCGAGATCACCTTCGAGTGCTTGGAGTCCTTGGAGAAGGGTAAAGAATCCATTCGGAAGACAGCCATGATCTCACGTTTTTCTAATCAACTTTTAATCAGATCTCGAGTGGAAGTTGACCTACGTTGGTTCTGCGACTAGGTCAGTTCAACGTGGAATTTTTCACCACGTACACCGCCATTCGCTGACAGCCAGACAACAGTGATCAGTACGACCAAGAGCTCGACAGTCTTCTCGTCGGGCCCGTTCCCGTCGGTGTCAACAAGTTCATCTTCGAGGCCGATGCGCCCAACACTTCCAGAATTCCCGACGCCGACATTCTGGGTGTCACTGTGATCCTCCTGACCTGCGCTTACGACGGTCGCGAGTTCGTTCGCGTTGGCTACTATGTCAACAACGAGTACGACTCTGAGGAGCTCAACGCCGAGCCCCCCTCCAAGCCCATCATCGAGCGAGTCAAGCGCAACGTTCTCGCTGAGAAGCCTCGTGTGACCCGCTTCGCGATCAAGTGGTACGTTTTCGTAGACATGAGGGGAAAACAAGAGGCGACAGAATAGTGGAGCTAACTGGGAGCCTTAGGGACAACGATGCCGCTGCCCCCGCCGAGTTTCCCCCTGAGCAGCCCGAGGCTGACCTCGTGCCTGACGAGGATGAGTACGGTGCTGAGGAGCGTGACGAGGAGGAAGAGGCCGAGGCTAGTGGTGCCAACGGCGAGAAGCCCGCCGGTGAGGATCTCGAGATGGCCGGTGTCGAGAACGGCGAGGGTGAGGCCGTTCCTGCGGAGGAGGACGAGATGTCGGATGACGGCAGTGTTGATATCGAGGGCGAGAGCGAGGACGAGCTGGAGGAGGAGGGCGAGGGCGAGGGCGAGGGCGAGGCTGAGGCTGCCGATGACGACGCCATGGACGTCGACACCGGTGACAAGCCCGTCGCTGTTGCCGGCAAGGCCTAGGAGGTCGCTACTCACTAGGTGACGCCTGTCGAGAGATGTTTTGACGCTTTTGCCCATACCCCCATTGTTTTGCCGACCCAGAAGTTATTCGACTAGAATTGCGCAGGATGGTGGTTTACACGAAGAATACGACCTGGATGACGATTGCATAAGGTACCCGAACTATTCAGTATAGATGATGTGGTTTGGAGAGGGACCAAGTGCAGAAGGGACTTGATCCTAGTAATTAGATGCAAAAGATACCTTTTCCTGTGTGCCTATTGGACCTCTTCCTGTTGACCTAGATGCGTGTCGAAGCGAGTAACCATTTTTCTACTTCTAAGGTTTGTAGTATTAGTTCCAACCCCGCGGAGAGATAAGAAGAAAAAAAAAAGTGAATGCCAAGCTCCATGAAACGAATCCCGACGACACGATCTAGCGTCTTCTTCTGCATCATGCGACTGAGATTGAGACATTTTCAAACGGGCTTGGGAATTCCATCCTCTCCAGACCACACTAAGGCACCCCAGCAACCAGATGCTTCTCCCGCGCCCCTTGTCCACCCCCCCCCCCCCGGCGCCTCCTCAGGTTGGGTTTGAATAATTGCATCTTAACGCACGTGAATTCTCCTTGGCGGCATTCATCTGTCAGCAGCACAACGCCATTGACAACCGCCAAGGCAGCAGTCATCGCCAATCAACTTTCGACTACAACTCACACGATCACACGCCGTAGGCCGCGAAAAGCCGCTCCTAGTGGCCGGCGCCGGACGACACCCCATCGACAGCCCTGCTTTCTTGGTGATCGCTAATCGACTCCGACGACTCATGCTCAAAACTAACCTCACCTCGGTGACTCCTCCAGCTCCAACCCCACATTGTATCTTCTTTACTCTGCCCCCCCCCCCCCCTTCATTCGCTCCCTTTTCCCCGGCATGCATTCTCAAGTCCCGTCTCCCTGCGTCACACCACACATTCGGGGCGCACAGAGATGCATACGGGGAACACATCCGTACCCACCAATCCGGTCCAGTGGCCGAAAAGCTTGGGTTCGGTGATGTCGGCCGATGTTCGCACGCACGCACCCCCCGGGCCCATGAAGTCATCTCGAGACGGGACTATCACTTGCCGGCCTTCATCTCTTCCGCGCGCATGCTCGCACACACCGAAGACACCGCGCCGTACCTTTGAGTCCCTAGGCTCCGCAGCTCAGCCGCATTTGGGGTCGATCTTCTTGAGTGAGGGGAACGTCCTGGCTGCCTAGGCTAGTGATTGTGGTGTAGCTGGAGATTGCCGATGGCACAGTATCCTGATTTCGGATGTCTTGTCGGAGGTCCAGGGCAAGGCAGGCTGTGCATGTTAGTGAGTAGAAAGGGGCCGCTGTTCTAGGAACGGGCTGCCCAGTTGATTCTCTTTTCTTGATTCATCATCTTTACATAGTCACCTGCTAAATCTTTCTTAAAATATACTTGATTTGACAGACTTGTTTTGGTCCCTGCTATGGCAACCCGGAGCCCTGAGGAGCTGCTCAAAGCAGTCGAGGCAAGCCACGACCAATACCTCCGTAACTTAAGAAGTCTACATGACTCCCTGGCTAGTGCCGTGAGAGACAGATCAGATACCAAGACAACAAACAACGCTCGCCAGCCATCCCCCCTCCTACAACCTTCTCCAAGCCCCGTCCAGAGTCCAGGGCAGAGTCCACCGCTTTCATCGGAAGCAGCCTTTCAGCCTGCTCTTCGCCGTGCCCGCCGCTCAACCTTTTCAGACCCTATCGAGAAGCGGACACTGTCCAGCGTCGTTGAGAGAAAGCACGTACCGGCCTCCATTCACTCTGAGCTAGACGTCGAGTATCTTCCCTTACTTGACATTGCAGGCCCTCGAAGTGTCAACAGTTCAGATGGGACCCTCACAAGCCCTCCCACAAAACTAGTTGAGCGCGTATCATGGACGGACAATCAACTGCTACGCCATCTTAAGTACACTGACTTCACCGGTGGCGCCGCTATTGCGCTCACCGATGTGATTAAAAGGCAAGCCGACATTGACGAGGATGCGGTATTCGAGGAATTCGCTGCATATGAAAGCCAGGGCTACGTCAGTTCAACCTTTGAGCTGTACGATGTCGACAAGGAAGGATCACCTAGACCCGTGGGCAAACACCCAGACCGCCGTCCTCGAGGCGCCGCAGCCGATGCAGCTCCAACTCCCACTCAGATCGTCGACGCCCCGACGGTGTGGAACGCCCTCAAGGAGATTCACGCCGATGGCCAGGCCGTAGGTCTCGTAACGATCCTACAAGAACCGTCAGCTCTCATGCTCGGCGCGCTACATATGACGATGCGCCCATACTTCGACATGACGGAGCTCCTCAACCATCTCATCACAGACCATGGGAACAACGGCAAGACGACGGCCCACGTCCATCGAGCCTTTGCGAAGGATGCTTCGCCCTCGCATCTCCGCCAGCGCAGCTTCTTCTTCGTTTTCAAGTACTACACAGTCGTAGGCGAGGGCCTCGAACCAGCCCCCTTTCAAAAGTACGATAAACGCCCCGCGGACCGCCGCTCAAAGGACCACATCGACATTGCAGAATGCAGCTCCATCCTCGCCCTCTCCCTCTCCGGCCCGCCACGCCAATCCGTGAAACAGACCCGCCGCCGCGAGGGCCCGCAAGAAGGCTTCCTCTTCGACACGTTCGCGCCGTGGCACCTGCTTTCGATCCAGTCCTTCCCAGACGACGAACACACCCTCCGCGGCGGCGACGCCGAGGCGCACAAGAACTTCCCCTCGGGACCCTACGCCTTCCTGGACGCCCTGGTGACCGAGTACCGCGACGCGACGAAGCGCAACCTGGCCCTCCACGCCCGCATCGCGAAGCTCATCACCCCGCCGACGGACTTCATGTTCGACGCCCGCCTGCGCGACAAGCTCCTCTTCGAGGACAAGCACTTCACCTACATCCGGCGGTACTTTTGGGCCTACAACACGCTGGGCGTCGTCAACGAGGGCCTGCGCGCCATGCTGGCCGCCTACCGTGAGACGTTTCCCGACGACTTCTGGGAGGGGAGGCATCAGACGCTGTGGCCGCACCCGGCACCGGAGAGCCCCGAGGGCGCGGCGTACCGCGACAAGATGGTGCTCCTGCGGTCCGACCTTGAGCGCGCGTGTCGGGACCTGGAGACGGTGCACGCCAAGAATGCGGCAACGCGCAAGGAGATTGAGAATCTGCGGGACCAGCTCTTCAGCGGGAGCTCCATCAAGGAGTCGAGGAGGGCAATCGAGCAGGGGGATAACATCAAGGTCCTGACGTTGGGGTCCATGGTGTTTTTGCCCCTGACCTTTGTGACTGTAAGTTGCAATTCCACCTACCTCTTATTTCCCCTCAACGTTCTTATACTGATACATCAAACCTCTCACAGTCAGTCTTTGGTATAACAGAGTTTACAATCTCACCAGAGGACTGGAGATTTCCCGTGACAATGGTCTGCGTCTGCGTACCCTTCATCGTGGCTCTCATCCTCCTGCAGACGCGCGCGGGGTACTCGCTCGCGAGGCACACCTTCGCCGCGCTCGCCTGGCCGTTTCGACTGTTCACGGACGCCGTTGCGGATGAGCAGTTTACCCCGGCCGCCGTCATCATGCCCACGACGGAGACGAGACCCAGGAGGAAGAGGCGGTTGACGGGCCGTCGACCCCCTCCGACACGTTCGCCACGGCACCAGCAGCAGCCGCCGCACCAGTACCAGCGTGACAATGATTTGGGGTTGATACAGTCATTTATGGGGTGGTGGACGTGGGTGAGGAAGAATGGGGTTCGTAGGAGCGGAGGTGAGCGAGGTGACGGTTCGGCGTTCGCAAATGTGTGAGGTGGTTTTGATTCATTGAGATTTCCATAGTTGTTAGATCCCCCTTTTTTACGTTTGGAGGTCTTTATACTACTGCATGCACGAATACAACTGCTAAATGCGGAGGCTTGTTTCCTGAATGCCAGCCCAACCTCTCCAGAATGGTCGGACTCTGGGACCCGGCCAGGGTCGGAGGCCTTTCTTTCTACTGGCTCTACGCGCATCTCAATGTCAAAAGTCGCCGAGCTCACAACACCGGACACACTGACAAGTATTCAGCTATTGCCAAGCTCGATCAGAGAACCAACCAAAAGCTGGCTTCGACACATGCAAGAAGCCGGGCCACGTTGAGATTCGACACATCAATCACTGCTTTCCTTTTCCAACCGAGCAAAGCGAGTTTGGCCCGGCTTGAGCAGACTGGTGTTCTCCGAGTGTATCTGACATCACTCATAAAAGCATGGCAACGATGAAGTCTTTCGTCCTCGATCTGGATTTCCCGAAACCTGACTGCCACATTGAACCCCTCAAAGAAAACGTATCTCAAGCCCCGTCCCAGTCTCAGTGGAATCCTGATCCTCTATTCCGGTCAGAATGATTACGCCAGCACGCTTACCTGTCTCGACAGCTGACACGAATCGTCACAACATCACTTGCTCTACAGTGAAGTCTCCTGGAGAGGGTGACTTCCCTCACCCCCCATTGATACGCCAACCCGACCATATTCTGGAAGAAAGATTTGACTCGTATGGCTTTGATGGCCATGGTCCCGATTTCTCACATCTCCACCTGCCCGGAACCTCGGGAATCTTACCACGCTGAAAATGTCAAAGGCGAGAGATCTCATGACCACCCCCTGATGCCATCTTCCACGAGCAAAGGATGGAAACAAAACAACGAGAAACAAACAACATGTTCTTGAACAACAACAAAAAGGCGAGTAAGAGAAGGACCGGCGAGCAGGGATAACTGAACAGCTTCTTTGTCTCAGTCACCAGATCGCCAATCTTTGTACTCCGTCAAACAGCGTCACCTCGCCCGGTTGCTTGTTCCCTCGATGTCGCAAGTCCTTCCTCCGTTCCGTTCTGTTCTCCCGCTTCGTCGTTTCCGTCGTCTCGGTAACCTCTAGGAGGGGAGTCTTAGATACTTCGAAGGAGGCGAGGTCACATCCGTTTAGATCAGGGTCAACCTTTGCTTGCGCGACGTCTCTGTCTACTTTGGCGGGTTGAATCTAGTCCATTTGTACTATGTTTGGAAGACCAAAATGCCGCTGGCTACATATTCACACGACACATTATCGGGGACGAGGGGCCGGAAAAAGAATCTCTTCTTCCTCCTCCTCCTCCTCCCTCTTTCCGCCCCTGTCAAAGCCTGGCTTGTCACCCGACTGAACCCATGTCGCCGATCAAGAGCCCCCCCCCCCCCAGGCTCTAGGGGTTTCTGCCACACGTAACAGAATTTCTGACCATCGTCATTTCGACATTCGCTATCTGCGACGAGTCTGAGCCTTCTTGAGATGTGAGCACTACGGATACTCCGTAAGCAGATTCGGATTCAGAGAGCAGCTCCCACCCCCCCACTCAGGCCATGTAAGCCAACCACTCCGAGTCCTCTTCTCCCGAGTCCTCGGAGGGGGCCCGCCGGGTCGGGGTGGGCTGACCGTTTGTGCACTAGGTTCGAGTACCCCGCCGCAGTAAATGGCGACCGGCCGAGGAGGCGTAAGAATTTATGGGTGCTGGAAAAGATCTACGATTGTTTCCCCCCCTGGGTGCTCCACATGAAGTAGAAGAAGCCAGCCGTTGCTCTCAAAAAATGGCCGATATCCCTGCTCGCGCTTTGCTTCAGAGTTGTGGATCTCTCCTCCCAGCCACCCGTTTTTACAAGAGAGTTCATGATATACTATCCGTGCTGTACGGATACGGAAGCTTGCTTGTCAGTCCACTGTTGCGTGAGGGCTTCCTACTGAGCCACAGCCCAGCAGTCTGACGTACAACTCTTAGCCAGGCCTCGTCAAGAGATCTACGTTGGCGCAAGAAATGCGGCGACGTCGGCGGAGATTAAGGAAGGCCCCTCCTACAGGGTTCTCCGGGGGCAGGGCACGGGAAGTGACAGCTGTCGAAGAGAGCTTTGACGTCGGACGCCTGCAGAAGGGTTTGCAAACCGACAATGGCGGTTCCTGTGCTCCCGTACCCTGTACTCCTGTACCTCGAGGAGAGAGGGCGGGAATGCCGTGTAGCTGTGGCAGATCGTGACTGAAACATTTGTGATGGCGCTGTTCAACATGAGAAAGTCGTCTAGTTTCGTTTCTGTTGCGGACATGTCACCTGCCATTGAACAAGCGAGACAACAGGCCGTGTAAGTTGAACCGAGTCGATGGATCATCAGGAAGCCTAGAATTAGGATCAGGACTCTCGGTAGTCGCAATCTCACCCATCAGGCCGCCAGCCAACGATACGAACTACATAGCGAGTCAGTCCCATGAGCTTGTTTGAAGAGGCTAAACGAGACGAGTGAACCATGTGTCCCTTCTAGAGGATCGTGGTTTGATAAGTATGTCTATTCGTAGATCTAGCGGTTTGCAAGGCAGAGCGTAAAGAACGACTAACTGATGGTCTTGCTAAGGATACGGGCTGTGTCCTTTTCATGAATCCGACCATCCCATGGAATAGTCGCCGATTGGGTGAAAATACTGCTAAATGGCTGCTGCGCTGTACTAGAATACGGGATGATCTCGATCTTGGATTGGATCTTGTATCGTGTGGGTGGTGCTTTGATGTTGCCCAGTTCATTTCTCGCATCGCACAGACAGCATCGCGGGAGGCAGATCCGCAAGGGCAGCCATGGCTTGGCGTAATTCGATTGGCTCATTAACGACGACAGAAGCACCTCGGGATCTGACACTGACAACTTGACAATGATAGACGTCGTTACCAGTTAAGCCATCCTGGTGTGGAATAGAGAGGCCCTTCCTCTCTAGCTATCACAATGGGGAAGGGGGCTAAAGGGGGAAATGATTTCCCAATATAGCAACACCATCGGATCAAAAGAAGGACGGTGGCCGTTGACATTGACCGGAGCCGGGCTGGAAAGTCAGCCAGAAATCCGAGCTACAGTCAATAGTGGAAATCTTGTTCCTTGCCTACCAGCCAAGAACGCTCTGCTCGTGACCATTTCAACCCAGCAGGGCTAGATTAGTAGAGACAAGCCCCTGATTTTGATGACAGCAACGGGGTCATGGACTGTGCATCGGAGGCTTCGAACGATGGTTCCTGCAGAGGGGTCCATCAATCTAGTTCGCAAGGAGAAACGTCGTGTACGTTTTCTGCGCGTCACGCACTTTATTGCTAGCAAAACTTGGCGCGCAGGCGGAGCGTCGAGAACAGCCCCGAACGACGGTGGATCAATGTTCCCATCCGTCGCGCGGCGTGTCTTGTCTTCGCTGTTCCTGGGACGAGCCAAGGTCTCTTTTGGACAAGGTCAGGAACAAGCCGAGCTGAAGCTAGGTATTGCCGGAACTCCCTAGAGGGGGCGATCCTCATGAAATCGCATCCTGTCCTCCCACGTGTCGCAGGCATGGGGAAATGAAGAGCATGGACCAGCTCAAGGCGGTGCAGACTTCAGTTCAGCCACAATCCCCCGCTGCTTTGGCAGCCTTTGTTCTATGCGGCGGATTCTGTGAGCTGCGTCTTTACATTCGACATGCTTGAAGGCAAGCCGCCCTGTAATGGCGTTGGCATCCGGTCCCAAGTCATTGTCAGGCCTGTCTGCACGCGGGCGGCTAAGACCCCTTTTCTGCTGACAGCGCGGCCAGGCGGCCGCGCCTGACCGACAGCGTCGAATCCGCGTCTGATGCGGCCAGATCTTGACGTAGACGTGCCACGGCGACCAGACTTTTGATTTGGAGGTTCGACAAGTCCAGTTGCGGGTATCTGTAGTTGAACTTACACAAGGGAGATGGCGACAGAATGCGTGTCGAAGAGTGTCGAAGGGCGCATACTTTCAAGAACGGACTTGCGCCCCTCGTAGACTCGCAGTTTGGTGACGCAGAGAAGATCGGCAGCGAATCGGCAGTGAAGCGGTCTCACATCGACTAGACTAGGAGAGCACGGGATCCTTGGCGATGTACCGCTGGCGGGTTCAGCTGGATGATGAAAAGTTCCAGAAATCTGGCAACCGGTGTCAACTTTGAGACTTAGGCGCAGGCATTATGCTTCGCGAATAACAATCCCTTAATAACGCGTACGGGCCGCAGCGAGGGCCGTCGGGAGGCTCAGCGTCCCAAGGCCGGTACTGTGTATCCGTATGGGTTACTCAAGGGTATCGGAACTGCAGATATTTGAATTGATTTCCAGTTTTTAGTCAGGAAATCAATATCCCGTCCGATGATACAATGGACACCTGTACTCGTGTATATCGTTTGAAACTAAACAAGCCCGCTGAAGACATCGGATGTGATGAACGGAGAGCGCGGTCGTAAAAGTTGGTGATGACGAGTTGCTGTGTGGCTTGGAGCATCGCAGGGTTCAAGAGGTCCGTTCCACCCTCCAATGTCCGCGTCCGAAGCCGAAGAGAGGCGACAATCATGGGGAAACGGGATCAGGGATACGGATTGAAGGATGCAGGAATTCCTGGATGGGCCGGGGACCACCGTAGCACGCGCCCGAGTCGACATCTTGTTTTTCTTTTTGGCTTCCCCTATTCCATATCCCGCTCAACCGCTCCCCGAACGGACATGTGGGCCTTCTTGATGCGGTCAAGCGCGACCCTGCTCCTGAAATCGGTCCCTGTCGTTGTCTCTGGGGTGCAGACACTGACAATGTCAAATTCAAAAACGAAGTTGACAGAGGCACACCGGAGGGAAAAAGGAGGGGTGGCGCTCTCTGACATGCCACTCGTTTGTCGTTAACGATGGCGCCGATTTTTACGAGCACACGGGCCGCCGACAGGCTCTCATCAATGCTGATTTAGGTCGGGAAGCCGATCAAATCAGGTGTGCATGAACCTTCAAGTTGCGCTGTCGCAAACGCAGACACTCCGAACGGTGAACCAAGTTGGCGCAAGACGGTTACACTGCTTGTCTAGTGAAGGAGTCGTGAGGCTAAGAGTCGCGAGCGACTGACACGGTGTCATGTTGCTGTGCGTTTGACAGGATGTCTCGATTTCGAATGCCTTTCTTCTTTCTGCATCAGTTGCAGACACAGGACCGCAATGTGCAGCTGAAAAAAGCAGTGGTTTCAAGCCTGCCTGCGCCTCCTGGATGCATGAAGGATGGGCGTCATGCCGGTTTCTGCTCCTGTCTGGTCGGTACTTTTCTCGAACAGAAAAGCACTAAGAATGATATAGTAAGAGTATGACAGGGACGATTCCCAACCTCGGCCCTTGGACCTGGCCCACTCAGCTCCGATGTTATTTGTTTTGCGGTTCGTCCATCCGTTCTTTTAAAAGAAAGGAAGCCATATGCCCGGCGTCGTCCAGTGCGGTGTGGCATCCCGAGTCTGTAGGCAGTGGTTCCATCAGGCTTCTAGAGTTCGTTGCGAGGAAACCTATTTTAGTCTTTCCTTCTTTCTTGATCACGAATATGGCAGGTCTCGGTCGGAAAGGTAGATGCTTAGATGGATGCGAAGGGCGAGCAAGAAGCCGAAGCTGAACGGGTCAAGGCCAGTCCGCATGTCTAGGATGACTATGTGAGAATATGTTGCAGGTGCCGCCACCAACAATGCAGCCAGCGTTGGTGGACGATCCTGACACTACCAGAGATGGAGACGAGGTCTGGTGAGGGTTCGTTAGGTTCCTGGAACCCGATTCTTCTTCTTGTACGTAGGTTTCCCCAGTCCATCCGGCGGCTAGGTAAGTTGAGCTGTAAGGCAAAGTATCACAGGACGGATGCAAGGCAAGGTAGGCGGTCCCTCGCTTTGGAATCGAGCGAAACGGTACCTCGACGTCGTCCGTAGACAGGGCTTGTTCACCCCTTTTCCAACCCAAAGATGGGAAGTTGCAGTTGCAGGCATCTGCAGTCATATTCGGCCCAATTTGTTCCTGCATTTGCATCGAGACTGGACGCACGATGAGGCAAGCTGGTAGAGTCGGCACAGCTCGGCGAGTTGTATGGGAAGGAGCGCGCACGGGATAGTCTGTTCGTTAGAGATGATGCGCGACCAATTGAATAGACGATTGACAACGAATGACTAGTCAGGTCTCGAGCGGCTTGTGAAGGAGATTTCGAGCTCAACTGAGCTGGATGGAGCGAACCCAAGCGAATGGGATATCCAGGCTGCCTGGAACTTCCGCAGCTGTGGCAGCTCACGCAAATTCGAAGGTGTAACCGTGTAAGGGCGAATCTTCGTGGACCTTGGGGTTCGAAGTGGTGTGCAGATGTCTGACCCGATGGCAAAGAGTCCGAGGCGACGGGGATTGGTGTGTAGCGGCAAGAGGCGAGCAGTCTCAAATGGGGCGAGTACGTACATGATCGATGATTTGTAGCGTCGGTATTTCATCACTGCGGTATCTTGCTCGAGGACGAAGGTCCAAAACGACATTTGAGCGTAATCTGTAGATGCTACCTAGACAGAGGTGAACTTCGGTACGTACTGCGGCGAACGCTCTACGGCTACCTACGCTGCGATATACCTAACTGCAGTTCTATCTGGTGAGGAAGATATGTGGTAAAAGGTAGGCAGGTGCATTTCATCCTCAACTTCCAGGTTAGAAATCGTGAGGATACGTACCTCTACTTGATATCACGGAAGGTGTCAAGGTGAGTTGAGGACAGGTCGAGGAAGAGGTGACTGTGGGTTGGTAGGATGACCCCCGCCACTTCCATCGACAGCCCAAGGATTGAACTGAACTTGGGTGCTTGGGAAGGGAAGGCTCACGGCTCACGCAAGTGCGCGCAGGCGCAGGCAGGTGCAGGTGCGGCAACCATCTTTGGAAGAGAGAAGGAAGCGATGGAACCCCTGCAGAATTCTCAAACAGATTTCTGGCGTTACAGCGAAGCGGGAGTCGCGGGACCAGTCATCGTCGTCCCATCCCACACTTTGATTTTTTCTCTGTCTGTTTCCAAGGTTCTTGTTGGTGGGGTCGCGTTCTTGTTCACATCTGCTTCGGGAGGTGATGGTCCTTTATTTTCTGTATCGTGTATCATGTATCATGTATCCGTACGGATAATACAGATACCTCCATTGTCAAGTTCCAGATCAAACGACTCATGGAGATTTGTTTTGTTAAATTTCTAGTTAGCAGAAGATGGGCGGGCATGAGAAACACTGCAATATGCCCACGTTACACGCCCGTAGTATCCAGTCTCACCACAAGAGACAATTGCTCCAGATTTGGATTTTCGAAGCGACTTACATGAACTCTGACAGATTGCCACTTGTACCTATCCTTTCTCCAGACAAGAAGCGATAAATACTCACCCTCCGCACTGCTTCGCATCTTGTAACCTTTCCCCCTGAGCCTGGGTAGCCTCCTTTCTCCTGTTCAGAAGACCGCTGTGATCTCCAAACGTCTTGATGTCATGATACAGACGTGTAATCAAACTGGCAATTCCGAGAACTCTCTAGGTAGGGAGTCTAGGTTGTGTCCTGCTGGACCCGTCGCCCGTTGCATGTTGCGCGTTGCTAGTTGGGCAGCAGAGCAAAAGTTGTAACTTCCATTATCGCTTGGTTCGGTTGGTACGCCCGCTGGCGGACTCGGCGAGGCTCCATTGGGCTTTGATGATTTCCCTGCTACCTTACTGGAGTTGGTAGGTCGCCGGCGACTGAGTGCCCGTTTGTACTCTGGGATGTCGCGCTTTCCTAGGTATCTTTGCCTTAAACAACCATGTACTCCGGTACGTATCTACCTTAGGTAGTTTCTGCCCGCTCGCCCACTTCGCCTGAAGCCAGGAACCGCTCCGCATCGCGCGCACGAGGCAAGGGGTCCGTTCCCCACCCTCCATTCTTAGCGACCCCATCTCCTCCCTCATCCCAAGGTGGTGGTGGTGAGTGAGTGTACCTTCTGAAGTACCGACTGGCTCTCTGTCACTCTCATACGATACGTAGGCTTACATAGTAGGTTGTTGGAGGCAGTCGTTCATGCTCACATTTCATCCCACTCTCATACGTATCGGTAGGTACACGTACCACACCACAAACTCACTCTCACTCTCATCAACTCTCACTCGGACACACGTAGCTCGCGCTTATGAATTTAGCAGTCTGTTCGCGCACATCAATCTCTTATGGCACTCAACGCGCTTTTCGCGTCTTCCTCTTCAAGACTATTCAATAATACCCATTACGTACGGATACCTCACCTTCATCCCACTTACCTAGGAAGGAATACGTACCGAACCGAACCAGGGACTCCCCCGTCCTCATCGTCCCGGATCAGGTCCAACTTTCACGTTCAGGCAGACCAGCCGCTCTGCTCTCGTTCCCACGAGCCATCAGTGGTCACGCATCACACCCCCATCCATCCTTTCCATCCATCCACTTTGCTCATCCAACCTTGACCCTCCAATAAAGCCAATCCCACCGTTTTGTGCAACCTCTCCGCTGCACCTACGGCCAGTCTACCTAGGTATTCAATTACGAGTCTGAGTACGTATCCATATGAATACCTTAGGTTGCCTAGGTACGCAGTGTGGCAGTCGAGTGAACTCTGGCTGTCTCTCATCGCACCCACAACAAGCCTGGCAGATGGCGGCAATGGAGGGCAATAAGGTACAGATACCGATGCTCGTTGATCGCTCACTCGGTGTCCGTGCCATGTGCCTTGTGCCTGTCCATCTGCTGGCCCTAAGTGATCCATGCCCCTTTATTCGCGACCCATCCTATCCATCCGTACCTTAATCTCTCCGTATGCACCGCGGCGACCAACTGTACGTACCCTTTACCTGGATATGGCCAGGACCTGAGGACACAGCCTTTTTTTTTTTTTTTGCTCTCACGCTCTCTGCCCTCTCTGACCGTGGTCCCCTCTTCCTCCTCTGCCTCATTCTCTCTGGCACCGCTCACCCCCCCCCCCCCCCCCCCCCCCCCCCCCCCCCCCCCCCTCCCCCCCCCCCCCTCCCTCCCCTCCTCCCCCCCCCCTCCCCCCCCCCCCCCCCCCCCCCCCCGTCCGTCAGACTCTTGTCCAACTTTGCTGCTTGTCCCTCCTTTTGCACGTTCTGAACCGCTGCCCTACGCAGTCCTACCTCGCTGTACTCTGTGTACCATCCCCTCCTTTCTACTTGAGCGACAAGGCCTATCTCTCTGTGTCTCCCCAAAGAGAATTGGCCCCCGGTCCTCATTCCACCCACACGGAACCACCATACACACACATTCATACACACTCAACCTCTCACACTACTCTTCTTCTTCTACTCAACTCTGCTCTGCTTTTTCAACCCTATCCCTCTCGCTCCTTTCTTTGCTTCTTGCAAACAGCAGTGAGAAATCTCTGCTATCCCGCAGCGTTGCGCCCCAGCGAAAACATATCCCAAACGAACGGGCTCATCACGTTTCTCAACCAGACGCACCAAACCAAGCACAACCCTTTTCCCCCCGATTATCTGACTGGATCTGGAACCTCGCCGCTCCTAGGCTCGATTTTAATTTGAT